ATCTCCACATTTAGTGCCAATATAAACATTGAGTCCAAATGATGACATCAAGATGAAAGTTTTATTTCCTGACATTATGAAATGTTTAGAGACAATTACAAATCATTAAAGTGACAAGTTTCCTTGTGTTCATTCAGAAACTTACAGGGATCAAGATCTATAACTGTCACAGTTATTACACTGGCCAACAAGAAAATACAGATGATTTCCAGGATTCCAGAAATGAGCCTCCCTGGAAATGATGGGAAATCTGTAGAGAGAAATGGAAATACCGATAAAGGGAAAATGAATCAAATTGTTAGGAAGATTATCATACAAGAGAAAACATATGCACAGGAAAGTATATGCATAAATTCTGGAACTGAATAAACCCACTTTCAGCTTTGTAATCTTTCTATTTAAAACACTTCATTTCAATAAATATAATGCTCCATGAATTGTTGGTCAAAAGCTACAGATTTCAAAGTTGCCTGAAAAAAGCTTTTCTTCAGATTCCATATGAATCTGCTGTGTGCTCAGAAATGAATATATGTTAGCCTATTCCTTAAAGTGATTCAGTAGCCCTGGACTGTGAATCACAAGGTTGCTGGTTTGAGTCTACCAGCCATTCCATGGGAGAAATATTAAGCTTTCTGCTCCTCCAAAGATTTATAGATTCGGAAATTCTACACAGGGTCAATATGAGTCAAAACAACTAAACAGCACTTAACAACATTCCCTAAATTTGGCTATGTTAGGCATGTTGTTGGTGGTGATCTTTGTGTACATTTTCACTCTTTCTCCACATTTCTACACCCCATCTACATATCCTAGAGCAGTTATATTGAAAATCTAATAAACACTTTACCTTTACAGTGGGAATTCTTGTCATTTCCTTGAAGATCACAAGAAGGATTATGCAGGGTTAATTCCGCATAGGTTATTCCCTGCTCAGCATCTGAAATGGAGCTATTTTTGCTTGCAGTTTTGATTTGCTGCCCCTTTAGGTATTTGGTCAGCTTGATTTCTGAGTATATTACTCTTTGATTACTCATTTCTGCAGCTGAGTGGTGTCAGGTATTGGGCGTTAGGGTAACTGTGCTTAAGAAGTCAATACATGACACGTAGTATGACCGGATGCCTAGCATACTCAAACTGGATCTGAGGAACAGGGGCGAAGGGAGGTGGTAGATGAGGGTTCATGGTCATTTTTCAGGTGAAGAACCTAAAATTATGATTTAGATTCACTTTGACCTTTAAACAAACGTGGCATGGTATAGTAAGCGCTTAAAAAAAAAAAAAAGATATCTTGCATTTAAACAAAATTCTAACTAAGTGCATGAGGAATCATGTCTGACCTTGAGTCATTCAATTAAATAAATGTTTAAAAATCTGGCTATAAAGACTGGACTCAATATAAAATAATACAGTATTATTTAAAGACACAGATTGGGCCAATTAAGAAATCCAAATTTATTGTTCATTGTCATGAGGTTTTAGGGATTTCACATTAAATGATATTGATTCACAAACCAAATGTGTGTGTGTGCATACTTGACTATTTCTCTACAGGTGATCGTTTTAATAAAAGAAGATATCCTCAATATATTTCATATTTGAAATTTACTTTCCATCCTGCCTCTAATGTTCCACAGTGATTTGAACACATATTAATTGCAGCTTTATCTTGCACAGCATTTGTAATCTCCCCCTAAATGAAGTGGGTGAAAAGAGAGTAGAGCAGTTACACATACCTTCTGCTTGCCAGAAGCCATGCTTCCTTTAATGGGGAGGCCTGATCATTGTCCTAGAGGAGTCTGTTATAGTTGAGTATTAGAAGGAGAAATCTAAGCCATTAATCTTGTACAAGAATAAACTATATCTGTGCTCTTCATACTCTGTCTTGTTAGGGCTCAGTGTAAGGCAAGAGTGGAAAAAGTAGATGGCTTATTAATGTGTTATTTAGTGCTTGAACAGGAAATTCTCACACTTGACCTATTTTGAAGTCAGTTTAGTTCATATGTCACACATGCAGAACACAGGAGCTACTGAGCTCTTATTGAAAGAACAAAGTAGATCTTGAAACATCTTGTATAGATTTTCTCTTTTCAAATATTTTTGAGAAATTTACTTCATATTCTATAGGATTTGGATGGATAAAGGATTTGTTCCAGCATATAGTTAAATGTTTCCATCTGATCACAAGCTATTAAATTTTAGCCATACTAACAGTGTCTTAGATTTCAAAGTCCTAGTTTTAGACTAGCTTGAAAAAATCTTCAATTGCATACTTCTTTCTACATTTCACTATACCATTCCTATTATGATAGAAAGGACCCCTGGTTGGCAATTGAAATCTATCAGTCACTGGGTATTACAGTGAAAAAATGCTAAAAGCCATAGGACCATTATCAACAAGTACATAATCGTATTTGTTAAATACTATTCTGAGAGATTACTATATTTTTAACCTGGCTTTACCTTGAGCTGTATGTTGAGTTAAATAAGTCAAACATTAAAGGATAAATATGATATTATCCCATTTATATGCAGTACCCAAAATAGGCTAATCATTAACTAAAGTTCATTAGGGATTATCAAGTTAGTGAGAAAGGAAATACAGAGGATTGGGTTTACGGAGAAAATCCTCTGTATTTCCTCTCTTACCTAGTTTTCTTTTTCATTCACATCAGATTTTATTATACGTCTCTGTCATATAGCAAATTTCTTTATAATGAAGAACAATGAAAGCGTGTTATTTTTTAAATTTAGTACAAAAATAATTTGGTCTATGTAAAAAGGGTGGGGGGAGCCTAAAGATTTTTATATATGCTTATTTAACCCAGATACATAGAATTTTCATGAATTTAAGAGGAGTGGAAATACTTAAACACTGATAGAAAATTGCTAGTCTCATTTGTTTGGATGTTTAAATGCTTAAGCAATTATTCAATCCATCTGATTTTACAAACTGAAACTTGGAACACAAAGAGAAGCAGAAAAAGTTCACATTTCCTTTTATATGTTCCTCAACATTAAATTGCATCCTTTTATTATGAATTAATTTGAAGAACACCACAGATTTCAAAACAGGAGTACAGAAGTACCTGATTCTTTTTAATTCCACAAATACTTAGTGTCCCAAAGAAACATGTAAACAAACCTCTATGTTGCTCAATGAATTTTTTCTAATTTCTGCAATAAACTAAATTCTATCAGTTCTAACATATGACTTTCATGTAAGTTATGATTTCATTCATTTATTTCATTCATTGGCAGTTGGTGGTTATGTGCTGTGGAGTTGGTTCTGATTCATAGCAATCCTGTACAGGGTTTCCAAGGCTATAATTCTTTACGGGAGCAGAAAGTCTCATCTTTCTCCCATAGAACAGCTGGTAGTTTTGAACTGCTGACTTTAAGGTTCGCAGCCCAATTCGTAATCACTTGAGTCCTGGTGTGTTGCTGTGGGCTAATGCATCAGACTGCAAAGTCATTTGAACTGCAAGGTCAGTGGTTCAAGCTCACCAGCTGCTCCTTGAAAACCCTATGCAGGGTTGCTATGGGTCGGAATCAACTCAACAGCACCTAACAACAACAGCAACGCTACCAGAGCTCCTTTGTTGTTGTTAGGTGCCATCGAGTCAGTACTGACCCATAGTGACCTTATGCAGAGCAGAACTAAACACTGCCCGAACCTGGGCCAACCTCACTACTGTTGCCACGCTTGAGTCCATCAATGATGCCACTTGACCAATCCATCTCGTTGAGGGTCTTTCTCTTTTTCTCTGACCCTCCACCTTACCAAACATGATATCCTTCTCGAGCGACTAGTCCCTCCTGACAATATGTCCAAAGTATGAGAGACAAAGTTTGGCCATCCTGGCCTCTAAGAAGGACTCTGACTGCACTACTTCCAAAATGGATCTATTGGTTCTTTTGGCAGCCCATGGCACTTTCAATATTCTCCTCCAACACCATAACTCAAAAGCATCAATTCTTCTACGGTCTTCCTTATTCACTGTCCAGATTTTGCATGCATATGAGGTTATTGAAAATACCATGGCTTGGGTCAGGCAAACCTTAGTCCTCAAGCTGACATCTTTGCTCTTCAACACTTTAAAAAGGACTTATGTAGTAGATTTTCCTAATGCAATACATCATTTGATTTCTTGACTGCTGCTTCTGTGAGTGTAGATAGTTTATCCAAGAAGAATGAAGTCTTGGACAACTTCAATCTTTTATCCTTTGATAAGAATATTGTCTATTTGTTCAGTGGTGAGGGGTTTTGCTTCCTTTACATTGAGATGTAATCCATACTGAAGGCTGTGCTCTTTGATCTTCATCAGTAAATGTTTTAAGTCCTCTTCACTTTCAGCAAGCAAGGTTGCATCATCTGTATATCACAGGTTGTTAATGAGTCTTCCTTAAATCTTGATGCCACGTTTTTCTTCATAAAACCCAGCTTCTAGTATTATTTGCTCAGCATACAGATTGAATAAGTTTGGTGAAAGAATACAACCTTGTCACACACCTTTCTTAATTTTAAACATTCCCATGTTCTGTTCAAACAACTGCCTGTTGGTCCAGGAACAGATTCCTCATGGGCACAATTAAGTGTTTCACAATACTCATATTTCGCAATGCTGTCCATAGCTTGTCATGATCCACACAATCAAAACCCAGAGCCCCTTACTTTGCCTGTATTACTGATGTAGCTAAGAGGGAAGTTTTTCAACTACTGTATTTATTTAAAAACACATCAACAGGTTCAAGCACCTGTCTTCAGAAAAGCCAGCAGCATTTATTAATATTTTCAAAGTAAGATTTTGCTTAAGCTCTTAATACCTTCCTAAACATCCATGCAACTATACACCCTGAAGAGATATTGCATAAGGGAAAAGAACATGGGGCAATTGGCACTTTTCTCCTGGATAATAGAAACGAGGTAAAGCAAACCAAGCATCTGTTTGAATGAATGGCTGTCGTGTTTAATACACTTGTAGCTGTAAAACTCAAGCAATGAACATATGCTCATCTATAATGAATTTTTACTAAAGTCTTGCTTGCTTCAAAATTTAAGGATGGTCTTTTTCCTGGTCAGTTACTTTAAGGAAACAATAAATAAAGTAGAAAAGAATGATTTCTTTTGCATATTTCTGTGAAAGAATGGAAAACATTTATACTTTGAAAGGTTCAGAAAATTCACTGCACAGAATGAACAACTTATATATACTATTTGTGCAATTTTTCTTAGCTAAAGTGTTTAAATGCAGGAGCTCCTCTAAGACAAGAAGCCACATTCATTCTTGTCCAAATCCCCCTGTCTCTTATATTTTTCTAAGCAAAAAGAAGTTTCTTCTTAAGTTGTTCATAACTCCTCTATGGGGGTAGATCCAAGAGATTAAAACATGTGTGGCCTCTTGGTAACCAGGTATCTTTGCCACTTTTTCAATGCAAAACTTTTGAGGCCTATTACTTCCCATGAGCTCAGCAAATCCTCCTAGATTTTGGCAGGTTCCAGCGACAAACTGCGAAAGTGGCATTCTTATTTCATTTTCTATCTCTTTCACAAACTACCAAAACCAAATGATTTGCTTGCTGTTTCTTGTATAGTGTCAATAAGCAGTATCTCTTTGCCAATCTTTCAAGTCAATCTCCTACATGTCACACAACGTAACCTCCAATTCTTTTTCATCAAAGTACTGCAGCCATTAAAGAGGAACAACTTCATTAAAACCATCAAGAAAAACTTTGGTCTGTTCTTGTACTCCACGAGAAAAATGCCCTTCTGTCATTAGAGCAAAATATTGATTTTTGTTCTTTTCAGTCAGCAGGATATTAGAACCTCCCAAGTTCAGATCATGCGAAGTCACTTTTCCCAAAATCTCCATGTCAACAGAAAAGTACATTTCTAAGCCATATTCTTCAATATTATTGTCTCTTATCCAAATAAGGGAGTTATAAAATTCAGTATCAGTAGATTTCAAATACTTAATAATAAGTTTTTTACTTAGCATATGCTTGTAGAATGGTAAAGAGAAACCACAATCAATAA